TGCATATTGTATATATTATATTGTATATAGTATATATTATAACTACACAGAGGAAATTGTAAATAAACCAATTCAAATTTTAATTATATAATTACTAAGGCATTAAAAAATAAAGAGGGAGTAGATTTTTTAAAATAATATTTTGATTTAACTAACTCTCTTCAATTATTTTTTTAAATATATACAAAAAAGATATTTGTAAAAAGTATTATATTTTATACTAATATAGTTTTTATATTTTTCTTTATGTTAATTATTATTCAAAGTTATTTTTACTTTTGTGTAAATTTTTTTTTTTGCTTTTTTTTTGAACTTTCAATAATTAATATAAACTTAAATTTATTTTTTTTATTTACAATAAAAAATTTTTTAAAAAAAGAATTGGCTTTAATTTATTTTTTAATCACCAGTTCAGCCTTTACTTTATTGAATATAGTTTTTAAATATAGCTATAGTATATATTAAAAATATAATTATAAATTTATGAAACTAATGATATAACTATACTGATTATTCTTGATATATTGCTGTCTTTAAAGCAAGAACTAGTGAAAAACCAATAGTACAAAAAATTTTTGAGAGGAAAAAGGAGGGAAGTCAAAAAATAAATGAATGGATGGAATAGTTAGTCCATATATACAATTTTTTGCTATGTGACTTATATAGAAAAACGAAAATTTTGTTCAGTGTATTCATTAAAACTTCTCAAGAAGTGTCAAATATCCATTTATATATAATAGTGAAAACACCAATGTGTAATTTAATAGTATTTTGGATCTTCCAATAATTTTTATACAATATCAGTTATGTTTTAAATACCTTTACCTAGGTTCTTTAAAAAAATATGAATTTTAGTCATTACCTTTTGATAATAACTTGTACTTTCTTATATAAGTTCTTAAAACATTAGTATGGATTATATACAGAAGTAAATACTAATACTCAATAGGAAGGGAGAAATCTTTAGAATAAACTACGGAGTTACTTTCTCTGAAGATATAAAGAAAGGAGAGATAAATTCAATTCCATTTAGAAATAAGAAGAACTTAAAATTAGAAACATATGTTTTTTTTTTTTTTTTAATGCTAGCACAGCCATGTTTTATTTGAATATAGTAGATATTATATATATGATGTAGATAAGCTACTGCTGTTTTCCAAGTAAAATTTCGATAAGAAAAAACCTACTTCATGGCAGTGCCACCCTTTCTTAAAAACAAAGGAACTAGTAAAGGGATCTATTAGTGTGAAAAATTAAGAAAGAATCCATATTGTTTGTGTTCTAATTATTATGTTCCTCAGATTTAAATTTGATAGTAATAGTTTCTATCCAACTACTATAATTTTATCTTTCAGGCTATCTTATAACTACAAACAAAGACTATACAAGATTAAATAGGAGAGAAGACTTTGCATGCAACTAAGAAGATACTGGTAGGAAAGGAAAATTGATTTTGGTATAAAATGATTTGAAAGACACACTACTACAATCACTTTTGTATTGTCAGTTAGTTACTCTTTGAAAACTTTATTAGGCCAGATTACAATGCCTCTTCTTTAGCTGCTTTCAGTATAGCCATGTTGTAGTTTCTTGTCTCCCAGCTCCAGTCCTTTCTTATGATTTCCATCTTATCCTATCTAGTATGGGATCTCTGTCAATTGTCAATGTTCTTTCAAGTGATAATAAATCAGGAGTTGCAAGGGGATTCTAAGACATAGGAGAGAAGTAGCTCAATAATACTGTCAGGATACCTTCCTTTAGACTGTGTGAGCACTGAAGAGGAGGGCTTGTCATTCAATAACCTGTTCTTCTTTACTATTACAATGATTCTATCCTAAAAAAGAAAGTCTTGACATGTCCAACTTGCGCTTTATTAAATTTGATAAATATTATGCTATTTTCTCCAGAGTACTACCATCTTGAGAAATTGAGCTATAGTCCTTTTTTCTTTAGACTGCATATTGGTTCTGCCTTTTGGTTAGTACAAATGATAAATCTTCTAGTCTATCAATCCAATACTTCTAAAAAATATGCGTAACACTTCTTAAGCATTATCCTCTTTCTATGTACTCTTGAGTTTTATTGTGAATATAGTTTCACTTAATAGATTTGTATAATATATTGTTGGGTTTCTTTCTTGATTAAGGCACTGATATAGAAGAGACAATGTTTTATATCCATCTGCACCATATTACTAATATTTTATGGTGGACTCCAGATTCTTATAGAGCTGAGGAAATGCATTCAAACACATGAGGTGACCAATAGAAGCTTGTTTATATTTTTTTACTGATGTATTTTCTGCTAGCCAATTATTGCTTGAGAAACTTTGTGCTATTTAAAATTCAGGGTCAAACTGAGGTAGGCAAAATTCTTCAGAAAAAATTGAGAAGAGCACTCTTAGAGCTGAATAAATAACAAGAGAGTGAGTGGTTGCCTTCATAATAAGTCTATCATCATAGAAAAGGCTCTGTGTTGTTTCTCTAGTATATAAATAGATAGCAGCACTTCAGTTCTTCTTTCTTTCAAAACATTCTTGCCGTTGATAGAAAAGGTGAAGTCATGACTTTGGTTACTAAAAATCAGGTTTTTACTTGAAGAAAATGTTTATAAAAGGAAGGGGAAGGTAAAGATAACTCTTAAAATATTATTTCAAGTTGGTTTAAGGAAAGTAGTAAGACTTTATTAGTCAAAAAATATAAAAATTTCTTGCAATTATCTTTTTTGTATGTGGTCAGAGGATTAACAGAAAGAGTTTTTTAAAAATTAGGAACATATGTATTAATACTGATAAATCAATCTACAGACCATTTTCTTTGATCCTTGTTATTATATAACAGTATAATAAAGATTACTATTTATATATCCCATTCTCTATATTCTAAAAGTTGAGCCAAGAAATAGATAGAGAAACCAGTGCCTTATTTTTGAATCTTTATTTATTTAATAAAACTGAGTAAAATTTATCTGATAGCTAGAGATAGGTAATCGCATCTTCAAAAACTAGGCATAGTATTTTGTAACCTTTACTATAATTGAATGTACTCTTTCTGAAAATGATCAATGGCATATGTAAAAATATGTCCTGTATCCATCTACATCAGATTTAATGACTTATAGTGGACTCTAAGTTCTTATGGAGCTGAAAAAATACATTCAAAATATATGAAATAACTAATAGAAGCTTGTTTACATTTTTTTACTGATGTGTATTCTTTTGTTAATTATTGTGTAAGAAACTTTGTGCTACTCAAAATTCAAAATCAAACTGTGATAAACAAATTTCCTCATAAAAAATCAAGAATAAGCATTATTAAAGCTACTACCATAACAAGAGAGTGGATGGGTATGTTCTAAAGAGTTTTATTATAAATACAGCCCTGTAGTATTTCTCTATTAAATAATAAAACTAAAGTACTTCAGTTATTCTTCATTATAGAAATTTCTTGCTATTGATAAAAAGATGTTTTATAGCTTGAATCAATGAAAATCATATTTTTATGTAAAAAGGAATGTTTATAAGAGGGAGAAAAGTATAGTGGTAACTTTTGAGCTTTTACTTAAGTTGGTTTAAGAAAAGTATTAAGGCTTTCTTAGCATAAAAATATAATAACTTTTTGTGAACCTTTTTTTATGTGTAGTTAGAGAATCAACAATAAAAGTTAATTGAGAATTGGCTTTAATAAAATAAATAAAATCAGATAATAGTATTATAGTATTGCAAAAGTATCTTAATTATATAAAATCTCAAACTTCTTAATAACTATATTATATATTATAATATTTACTTTTTTATAAAAAAATTTATTTATCTTAGCTTGATTATAAAATTAAACAAATATTTATTTATTACTTTGCTTTTTTAAACTTTATAATCTTTTTTAATTACTTTTTATCTTTTTATATTATACTTTTTTTGTTAATAAATATTTTTTTCTTTTTAAAAATTTTTTCTTAGATTTTTTATTTTTCTTTTATTAAATTTTTTTCAATATTTTTGATTTATTAAGATTTTTTTTCTAGTCAAATTAATAAAACAACTAAAAAAAATATATGATGACAAAAATTTTTAATGAAAAACAAATTTATTAGCAAAAAATATTATATTTCTAAAGGTTTAGATATATTTATTTTTTATAAAGTATTTGTTTATTAGAGATAATAAAGCTTAATTTCATATATTGATATTGCACATATATACAGAAAGTTCCAGCTATATAAAGTATGCATTGACTATATATATTTTTAAAAATATCTATATAAATAGATATCTTTATAATATATTCAACATAAATTTATTTTTAGGTATAACCTGCCAATATGGCTTATTACCTAAAAAAGCCCTATTATCCAACTACCTATATTTTTATTACCATTTTTTGATTCTCACATATAATGCTTTATAGGCTTCAGGACTGTAACATAGAATTTCTTTTATATCTCATTCTGATGAGTATTTTTTTTACAATACTTATTACAGTATATCTACAGAATATTCACATGAAGTCTTAAATATTACCTCGCTCTACTGGTAACTTTTTTATATAATCTATTATAACCTGTCTATGAAATGACTATATAAAATCTTAATGAATATTGATTTTGATAAAGACCTTCTTTTTACTAATATACCTAAGCTCTACGAGTCCCCTCTTTTTATAGTATTCAGATCTTCAGCCTATATGTAGAAGCTTGTTGAAACCTGTTTTATAATAAGATAACTTTAGTACTAAAATTGGTTAAAGCATCTTATAATTTTTATTATTTTGTGATAAGACAAAATCTTGGTCACAAATGGTAATTATAAGATAGATGTGATTTTTTTGTATTACCTAGACTTAGGTGATACTGCCTTATAGTGGTATTGAACATGAAAATAGTATTTGATGATCTGGAAATGCTACTGCTATACTATTGATTTATAGGTCTTTTATAATTAATAGTTATTTATCAATTTTATTAAATAATAAAAATAATAAAAAAAATTTCAATTGATAATACTAACTATATAAGATTTTGTTTTTCTGGGAATTTAATAATAATTTTATAATTAAAAATAAATAATTAAAATTATTATTATTATTATTTATTTTTTTTTTAACATGCAATTATGTCACAATGGCATATCTTTATTGAAAAATTTAAAATGAATTTACAATATTTTACAAACTTTCACAAAGTGACTAACTCATCTTTATATAAAAGTACTCTAAGTCACATTTTGGGGACAATATTTTACTCCACTAATAAATTGATAATAATCTCTATCTACCAGGATCATTGTCAACAGTTTGTCACTGTAAATTGTTCTTAATGCGAGGTGTTGCATACTGAATACTTACCGAATCTTTCGGGAAATTAAAAAGTAACTGTTGAATATTGTTGTTGAAAAATTCCTCAAACTTAAATCGTGCCCATTCAATGCATTGTTCGAATCCCAGGGGTTTATTTGTGACCAGATAACCTTGGATGGTTTCAAATGTTTCCTTCTGGTTACCACCTTGCTTCAATGTAGCTTCAACAAAGTCAGGTTGGCTTAAATAAAGGTTAACATTATCGGCTGGCACCTTGAACAATCCTTCGAATACGTCACGTGCCCATTGGATAGTGTGTTCAATGACATTGGGAAAGTTTTTTAGAGTACAGATTGGAATCGATTTTTCTGGAGGATCTTGTGATGAAGAATAAGATTCCGTGAGGTAAGGGATAACAACTTGTGTGTTACCCTTTGTACCCAAGGTTCCGGACTCTAGTAAAGGTTTTCTAAAGTATACGCAGCGTCTATCTACATATTTACCTACAATCAATAAATTTCATATGAGAAATTGTATATTTATTGGACAAAATTCATTTTCGCATAATAAGAGAGCATCACTCACGAGCTTCGACATTATCCAATGCGTTAGTAACACCGTCCAAAGACTCAAAGAAATCATCGTTATAGACATTCTCCGTCTCGACAGAAACGCGATCTTGGTGTGCGATTATTTTACCAACTGTATGAGGATTCATTGCTGCAATGGCAGAGGCGGCACATTCCGATTTTAATTTCTATAACAAAAAAAAAAGTATGTTTGATAAACAACAATACCTAACAACATACACCATTAATTATTAACAAATGGCACATACTCCAACGTCATTAGGACGGAATAAGAACTGTCGATTTAAATTACTCTTTTCAATTGTGTCCATATCAGTAACGTGGATAACACCCCTGGGACCAGTACCCAAACCCATCATAGACCAATTCTTTAACATTTCACAACCAATAGCACCAGCTCCAACCTATAGGAAAATACGCACCATAAGTTAATTTT